ATAAATTAGAAATAATGACAAGACAATGTATTATTAATTACCTGACAGCAACGTTCGAGAGCAAACATAAGAATTTTCGGATAACCGAAGTCGTCTTGTATGTCAATTGCTATTACAATTGTCGGACCGATTTTTCGAGAGGTTTGCTCCAACGGCGCCGACGAGTTTAGACAAAAAAGGAACTTTTAAAAGCGATCGATTACTTATCCATACTTTTAGTTCGATCAAACAAGGGAAAACCTAGATCGTATATAAACTATTATAATTTTAGGAACTTCGATTCGTTTAATGTTGAAGAGTCACGGGAACGTTGAATCGATTGTCGCGTACACGTAAACAGAAGCACTAAAATCGAATGATATTTAGGAGAATTCGGAGGTCCATTTGTTTGAACCGAATTTGACACTGATTTGACCAATCTGCTCTTGGAAAAGAGTATAATGATAATTTCAAATTAATATGCATTGTAATAATTCATCTAATACTTTCTGAATAAAAAATTGTATTGATCTTGCATATCATTTCTTATTTCTTTCGGTATTAACGTTGTTTCCATTTTTACATTAAAAGTTAAAACTTCGAAACATTACAATATTACAGGTATACAAAGCTGTAATTTATTTAATTAGTTACATTTAGAAAGAACAGTACTACAATAATTTGAACTTCAAAATGCTTTTTTCTCAGGAAGTTACGAAAGTGTTAATAGTTTCACAGTTTTGCAAACAAATTCGATTTTAAGTGCCTGCTTGAAAATAAGCCGCATGTATAATGAGTATGTGAGAGAAATGGATTTAATTAACTGAACGAGGACGGAGGCGATAACGACGACAACGACGATGATTTTGTCTACGTTGATCTAGAAGACATTGCTGGAACAATGATTTGTACGCCTTCTATGAAGGACCGTCGAATACATTATGTTACCTAATACTATTAAGCACGCATTATCTAATAAACATTATTTACAAAAGTAATGATGTGTTGACAGAGAGGTGCTTCCATTATTTCTCCTAATTGCGTCTGCAAACTGTTACTATAACAAATAACATTGACTACAAATATATAAGAAATCGTGAAAAATTGACATTTAATAATAAAAGAAACAAAAAACTAAACTATCTTGAAAGTAAGTAAATTAACGGACTAATAATTTTTTTACCCTTAAATAATTTATTTCTTATTATTACTTTTGTCCTTATAAAATCATGGATTTTTGAATATAATAAAAATATTGGATATTAAGCTTAAAACTTGATAACACTCGAGGTATATATTGGCAAAGCATTATAAATTTATAACATGTAATTGAAAAACGTTAAACACGAAACATATCTTCAACAATAGTTTCGATCAACAGTTTTCTTGAATTTATTACTTACGTATTTAGCTTCGTATTTTATTTTGTTCATATTTTACAAACATATTCTAAAATATATAAACATACTTTTCGACAATACTCATTCAAGGATATACATTATTCGAAAGCAGCAAAAACGGACTACGTTCTTAACAGTACTAGACTTCGAGGAAAATATAGTAGAGTCTCTTGTATCCGCATACCTTACTATTCTGTTATCCGAACATTACCACAAGTATGCCTTGTTAACTGTTATAAAAATTAATCACAAGGCCAAACAACAATTTTCACGCTATAGAAATGAGAAGTATGTACAAAATTTTTACCAACCAATGAGTTCATAACTCTTATCGATCTTTTCTGGATACATACAGGAAGCCACCCATTACTAAAACTTGTTCCAAATAAAAGTATTCTTAGCGTTACTTTTACATCGCTATCCGAACAAGAATTAAATACCTACTAATCAGTTAATAATTAGAGCTACTTATTTTCGAAAATGTTTTAAACCGTTATATTTCTCAGAAAACTGGAATATTAAAAAATTCTGATTTTAGAACGACTAGGTTATTACTATTATGTTCCAAAAATTTGCAACATTTAAGTGCATAAATATACAGGGTTTCTCAAAAATGTCTCTCTTCCAGGAAATGAGGATTCAATCTCTCAGTCACTGACAAGCCATTATAACTATCGAGTAAAAGCGGCCATCCATCATTTATCAATGAAAACCAACCGAAACAGTTGGTTGAGAAACATGGGAGGAACAGAAGCAATCATCGAACCTAACATTCCATCGAAAATACGAAACACACCGATCCGGGTCAGTTATCTCTGCTTGCGTTGTCATTGAACGCGACACGTGACGAAACAAAAGGGGTAAGAGGAGCTTCAAAAATTCCATCGGCCTCCAAGGTAACAGAAAAAAAGAGAGTGTCATGGTGGTGGTGGTACGAGGAGGTATCCAATAGTCACAATAGCATTCGTCAAATCGACGATAAGCGTCGACGGGCGCGTCGCGTCTCATTTCGCGACTGGCGTCGCGGAAAAAGGACGGAGTGATTCGTATAGGAAAGCGCGCGATATAACACATCGATCTGCGTACGGCGCAGACGCATTTCGGAGCGTCTGGCTGGAGAGAGCGGATCTCCCCCACTTGCCACCCTGTATAGCCCGTGACCGGGATACGATACCAACAGGTGATGCTGGAGTAAAGAGGCACTCCCTCAAGCGGCGTCGTTGATCGTCTCCCTCGAGTCCTGATCCTAACAGTGATTTAGTATCGTTTTCAGTCGGTTTTCCCACCCCAGCGATCAGCCAGCGATTCATCCGGAGAGAGAACGGGGTGACAAAGTACCGGGGGATAAGATCTCGTTAAGGATCGGACGCCGGGAACGATGAACGAAGAGGACAGGGATCGGTGAATCGTGCGGCCTTTCCACGACGCTTCTCCTTCGATCCGCGCGATGATTTAGTGAACGACTTTCGCGGTGTTCTACACTTTTCGTATTTTTTTTGTCTTCTGTTCATCCACCATCCCCTTTCGGTTCCACGCTGTTCACACTTCCATGTTGTCACACTTCGCGCATACTTAGAACCCGATCGGGAGGATTAACCACGCGCCGGTGACCGACAGTATCCGATTTAGCAAAGATTCAGTGAACCAACCACCAGCCTTTTTTCGCTGGTGTTTCGTGGTCAAGGCAGTTGCGGTCCAGTGAGCGTTCGTAGGGCTGCTCGGAGCTTTCGAAAGGAGGGAAAATCGGTTGGCGATGGTTGAAATAGGAATTACTTTCCGATGACGATCCAGGGCAGGGATTTAGTGGTTTTACTTCGACCTTGAAACGGGGAATCGTGCGAGATATGGCAGACGACAAATGGATCGTGTAAACATTGGTGGTTCGACCAGAGAGAATGGAACGTGGACAAATAAATCGATTTGATCGGCGGATTGTTTGGAGGCCGGCTAGTTGGCATTTAAAAAGTGTCGATACTGAACAGAAGCGTGTTTGAGAAATGAAGAAATAACGCAAATCGACTTGCAACGATAAAATCAACGAAATTTGCTTTCCATGTGTTTGCTGGCCAGAATTTCGACGATTGGAGGAACTGTAAACAATTTTGAGGGGTACTGGGATCGTAATATGTAGTTCCGACCTAGGACAACAACGAGATATCTATTTGGCGGGAATTTTCTACAGGTACTTCTCAATATTTTTTTGTAATAAATAAAAGGAAATAATGCTTTCTACGTAATTAGTAAGGAAATCGTTACGGAATCTAACTAAGGCTCACGAATTTTATTACTAGTTTCCTGTAAATTAATATTCAGAGTGTTATGTAAGACCAAAAATGTGAATGTAATTAAATGATCTCGTTGGCGACATTAAAGTTGTGGATTAATAACGACGTTGCTAAAACTAAAAAGATGAAGAATGAAAGTTGTTGTGAAGTATTAATAAAGCGACGAGAAAAGTGTTCGCGTGATATGTTCGTGGTATAGAAAAGTTTCAATCAGAAGCCCGGAGAAGTGGGAGATGGAATCGATGTAAATGAACTGAGCGTCTAAAAATTCGTAACGAGCAAGAAAATTCAGACCAATCGTGATCTCGTACCAAACAGTTTCCCTGATCGTGTTATAATGTAAAGAACTCCTCCGTTCAATTTAATCTGCAATAAATCTCTTCGCACAATTATCAGATGCAATCGACGTGCCAGCTCAATTAAGAGGCTCTCGATCACTGGAAATGGAATGCGCCGGATTCGTAACGTCCTTTACAACAATTTAATGGCGTTCCAGCAGAAACAGGATACAAAAGTAATAACATATCATACACGAATCCAAAAAGAAAACTTTAATAGAAACATAAAGCGTCTTTGCGGAGTATGATACACAGAAAAGCTGATCAACGATTATGATTCTAATAAATTTCTGTGAAACTTCTATTTTGAAGAAAAATATACCTACTATTTTTCAAAAGGGAAGAAAATTCTTTCATGCGTTGTTAAAGGCATACGCTAAAAACACGATAACAGAAAATAAGGGAAGTTAGATAATCATTCCGTAGGGACATTTTACAGTATGAAAATATCTCATCGTCCTAATTACACGAGTATGCGTTGTAACAGAACTGAATCGATATCTCCGTAAAGTCGGATGAGGAGGATCCGTGTCCACCGGCAAAAACAACGAAACAAAGGCTATTCAAGAATACCACGTCGCGTCCGTGCAGCCGTTTCGAAAATCATGTTTCCATGAAAACTAATTGGCGTCTGCTTGGCGGCGACACAGCGAGTTAATTCTGTAATTAATGGACAACCTGAAGGGGACTCGTTGAAACGACAAACGCGACACAAGAGACACAGGTCGGAGTGCATTTCGCGGCCGTCTCGACATCGTGAACAGTCGCCCGGGGTGATTCACGACGCCCCACGTGACGAAATAAAAATGCAACCGCTCGAAGCACAACAATTATCACCCCCGTACGGTCAATCACAGGGGATCGATCGTTTGTAGAGTTTCCTGGCGTTCGAGCGTGTGATCACCTATCGATACCATTCCTTGTAAATTTATTATAAACTGTTTCGATCATTTGTAACCGCGATTCGGCAAGGGAGAATCGAAAAAAGTGATCCAGCCGAAAGAGGGGATGAAGATGGTACGATAACAAACCTGGAGAGGCGGGAAGGTGAGTTAAGCGAGTTTTGCATGACGTACACACTATGTATCACGGAGAAGGTCCAATCTTCGTGTCGTCTATTTAATGAAATTTTCAGAACATGTGATAGGCTTCTTCCTCGTTACATACAGGGTGGCCCAAACAAAGTGTTACAGGCTGTTTTCTGAGAAACTATTGCAAATGTCGACTTCATTTTTCTTTTAAATTGAATGGGACAGAGGGGCTAACCGTTTAGAATGCAACAACGTTTTTTTGGGCAACTATTAGGGGGATAAGTGGGCCCTCTTATATTTTTAAAATTGGAAAGAGACATTTTTTGTTATTCGGATATATCTTATCAAACTAAATATCATTTACTTGGAGAATTTTTTTTATTTTGCAAAGCTAGAGTTATGGCGAACATACAAACAAATTTTATTCTAATATTCATCTAATATGTATTCTTGCTGACAGTAAGTAGAAACGGACTGTAATAAACAGATGCGTTAGCCAAGTTCCATTCAAATGCAAACGTATATGGCAGATTTTCAAATTCAATTATTTCGAGAACGAATCATCGTACACGAAAATTTTATTCTTCTTTCTCGACTTATTTTTACATCTAGAATCACCTGTATATCAAAAATGAAAAATGCCGAAACATCTTTTAATTTACTACTGCAGAGTAGCAGATAATCTAACATATATTTCTGCAAGAGAAAAGTTAAAATAATGCTGCAATAAATGAAATAAAGAGTGCAACTGGTAATACGAATTTACAAACCAATGATTAGAAGCACTACCAACTATGTAACTTCCAATTTCTCTTAAATTCACTTAGAATAATATAATTAAGATTATAAGTCGCTTATCGAAAATTTCTAGACTTCATATTTTGTAATTTATTTCTTATATTAATACCAAGTACAACTAACTTCATTCTGAACAACATCGGTAATAATATGTCTTTGTTGCACTATTGTGGTTTATACTATAATATTATATAATAACATATTCTGTACTACAAGCAGATATAAATAATATTAAACAGACTCCGACTAGGCCACACGAAACGCAAACATTCATATTTACCCTCTAAATCCGATCCTCCAATTTGGAATGTATATATTTAATTGCCAAATAACGGTAAAGCACATCTTTTTAAACTGCCCCAAATATACCATGTCTCGTTCGAAATTTCAAATTAGAGATACTCTCAGTAAAAATCTCAGTAATAATAAGCATATTTCAAAACTATTCTCTTTCCTAAGTAACTCAATACTTTATAATAAAAACCTAACACTTTATAAGACAACCATCGTACAGTATCATCGCTAATAACCAAATATAAGCAGTGATGTAACGTTAAATCTCTGTTGCGACGACTCGCAATAAGTTCGTGATTTGCCACTGCTCGTTAATTTATACCGAGGTAAATTAATACCGAGGAGCTCGTTAAAAAGGATGGTGTGATGGCCTGTGGTAATATATGAGTTAGATGACTTTTTTTTTTTTATTCCCCCGTTTAATTTAGAATTTGTTTTTTTACAAACATTAGGTAAATTGTTCTGTCGTTTTGATACAGTTAGCATGTAGATACTCTCCCATTGGATCGTATCTGGGTTTGGGAAAGCTGCGTTGTTGTCAGGATATAAGCTCAGTCGGATGTGTTTTCTTTAGCCTTCTTGTAATATGTGTTTTGAGCAAATTGTTCGCTGTGTTGTTCGGATGATTGTCTAGTCTGACTTTATATCTTCTCGAGTAACGTTCTATTTATTCTTTAACCGATTTGATTCCAAGGTCATTTCTAAGAGCTTCGTTACGGATATACCACGGAGCATTGACTATCGTACGTAATATTTTGGACTGTGCTGTTTCAATCTTTTTAACGTGGCTACTAACGACTGTTCCCCATAGCTCGATGCCATACGTCCAAATAGGTTTGATGATCATTTTATATATTAACAATTTGTTTTCTAGAGATAGCTGGGAGTGTCTGTGACACAACTTAGTAACACTTCGAATTTAATGTAAACTTAACAATATGGTATATGTGGACGTATGCAGTGGTTGTGTTCTGACTGCTAAATGTGTTCTGATTGACGGTTGAATGTGTTCTGGTGAATGGGTAAATGTATAGATGCTTGCTGAAACGGTTCGACTCGTGATTGGTGGAAAATACAGAATTTTTATTGGTGTAGGTGTAGGTGGTTCAACAGGTGGTAGTATGAGTTGGAAGAAGTGGGATGTAGGTGTATGTTGTCTCTTGGATTTTTGGAAGTCAGCGACCAAATATAATAAGGAACGGCCTTGAGGACCGCGAGTGTTTAACACGTGATGTACAGCTGCCCAGAAATCCCCGTTTATAACGGTTTGGTGACCGTCTCGATGACCCAACAGTGGTTCTGACAGGGACCACGATCATATTTGTTATTAAAAAGTTTATAATTTTGACATCATAAAATGGTTAAAACATTTCGATTTTTCATACTTGAACACACATCACATTGTTACTTTGTCATTTATTATAATAATTCTGGAACAGGCGATCGTGACACTCGTATTAATTAAGAATCCTCTAAAATTTGTTATTTCTTTTTTTTCAAAGAGTCATTTTCTTATGCCTATATTCACGACAAAAAGTTTTAAAAAATTGTTCCTTTTCATTATTTACATTTAATAATACACTAACAAACCTTAGAAATTAGTTATCTTCTACATAGAAAAATTTCATAGAAAGTGATACATTTTTGGGGTATCACAGAGGGATGACCTTTTAACATGCAAAACGTGGTGCCGTTTTTTGGGTTGAACTTCATCTCCCGCCATGAACCGTGCAAACAAGAAATGTTCACATGGAACGCGAGATAAGAAATTTAGAGGGAGATAATATGAGTGTGGTATGCACGGCGAGCATAATGTCGGCTTGGGGCATCTTATGGGCCACGCGTCTGTGCATTGCGCTTCTTGCATAATTTATCATACAGCCGTGGCCGAAATAACAAAACTGTTTTCTACCCCTTTTTACTCTGACCAATGTGGAATAAATCGTCATAGCTTTAGTACCGTAAACACCGCGACTCTAATGTCTTCAAGGAAAACATTAATGGAGGAAATGCGCTTCTTTGCGAGGAACAATACGTTTTCTTATGCACTAATGCGTCGACGTGTTTTAAAAAAGCAATAAGTGAGGTGAAATTGCAAGAAATACAGTTACGTTAAATGTACCCAATGATTCTGAAATTTAATTGCAGGTTTTGGTGCAAGTGTGATACAAATGAAAATTCTAGTTCCGATTTCATTTTATACAATATAATAGCACACTGGATGCGTCCGCCTCTTTTATGGTACCATATTGGAATTATTAAAGTGTTTTTAATTCAGTCTTTAAATTGTTTCATCATAACAAAAACCGACCCTTGTCAGTTTCTGCTTAAAGATCCCAAAGTTGCGGTATGTATTGTATGCAAACGTGATACTGCTCGGCGAAGGCGGAGTGGGGAGAGACCGCTGCGCGAACAAGCGCGTGCTGCCCGAAATTGACCTCGCGCGTTTTATCTGGTGGACTCGGGAAAATTCAGGTTGTCTGTGCAACAAATTAACGTAGAGCGATGAATTTTTTTTTAATTTGAGGTACCTCGACGGGATATTAACAAATAGCGTGACCAATTTTGTAAAAAAATTAGTTAAAACCTGAAATTTATACTTCTTTGATATACTGACGATATTCTATGATTTAAGTTGATTCATTTTGTTTATTAAGCATACATGATGTTTAAGTTATAAAACAGAGACAATTCTGAAAACTGCACGTTTTTCAAGTTGAAAGAACAAAACTTGTTTTATACCACTTCCATTGTAAGTTGTGTGTATAGGTGCCACATAATAATTATAATATTAAGATATATGTATAATCTTGGTCATTATTGAGAACATGGTCATCAGCACCTGTTTCAATGATCTTGAAATATGTTGTTAGGCCCATTATTTAAGTTTCCAGTTGTAAACAGATATTGCAAAGGAGCCCGTAAAAAAGGATTTGGATCGATGCAAAACGTGAACTTTCCACGCTGGAAGATATCAGACAATTGCGAACAATGCTTCTGTATTCGATGTATGTGAGCCGGACGCGAGTGTGACCCACGCACACGAGGAAAGCTTCTAGATAACGTTACACGAACACATTGTGCACGCCCGGCTCTACCTGCCCACCCTTATGTAAAAGTGAATGAGCAAGAGAGGGTGGTAAAAGCTGTAACAGGTACTATACATATACGTATCACGCAGTTGAATTAAAGCGACCCAATGCATGGGGTGTCTCGCCTTGTGCTAAATGAAATGAGGTACTGAACGATCTAGTGCTCCATTTCAAAACGTGTGTTGTGCGGATGGAACTGACTTGATATAAATTTGGTAGAATGGAGTGCAGGAAATTTTTTATAAATTCTAACCATTCTTTTTTACTTACTGGTTTCTAACTCGACAGACTAGCTGTTGGGGCCGGTTACAACCCCCTTGAATAGATATTACTTATGTTATCTTGGATTAGGTTTATGCCTCCAGGCACTGGACAGCGAAGAGGTCTGATTGGAATGTGAAAAAAGTTGAAAACATTGTATGAATATAACAAAAAATGAACGCATATTCTATCTAAAGTTCGATACACTATAATTTACACGGTGATTCGATATTCAGTCTATCGATACATGCAATACGATTTACGCGATTATTCAGTCTACTCACCTTTACCAGGCGATTCACACGTTACCTCGTTGTTCTATCCGCGGATTTTGACAATAGGATTCACGAAGAACTCATCTTCGATAGTTCGACACATCTCGTACAACCATTCTTTCGGAGGTGCGTCCTTGTATACCGCTGAATACGATCTCTTTGTTCGATCCAACTTACGCGAACGATTAAAAACCTGTCGCATTATCCATGCATATGGTCGAATTATCGAAGAAAATGCGTTAAGGGGGGAGACTCCGCGGGCCGTGAGCTGTGTCCGTGCACTCGCACAAGCAATGAGAACCGTGTATGTATACGCGATGCACGAGAGAGACAATCGATTTCGTAAATTCCGACTTCTGCCTTAATAATTGCACAAATGAATGGATAATTGTCTTTCGAGTATATCACCGACAAGAACTCGTAAATCAACAGAATTACAGAAGCGAATTTACAGAATCGTAATATTTTTACCACGGCGCAGGTAATATTAGTGTGAAATTTTTCCTTTCTACAGTTTACACGATGCCAAATTTACGTTACAATGACTGCTTCGTGGTCCACGACTGATAACTTGAATTTACCGACTTCACTAAATTTTCCGAATTTCCGAATTACTGGCAGTGCCAAGGCGCGAGTTGTTCACTTGACTCATCGGTTTGAGGTGCGCGCGCAACAACGATAAGAAAGGCGATTGGACGATCTTACGAGGTCGGTTTGACCAACGCTACCGCGGAAGCTCGGCCGGCAGACTTGCGCTCTGATTGGTCGGGGTATTTCGTTAATATTTCGTTAACAAAGCCTCGGATAACATTTTCGCTAAGGAAAAAGTTGTTTCAAATCATCCCAGGAACCCCTAATTTCCGGGAGTTGAAGCTATTTCGGGACATCCTGTATATAAGGATAAGGATTCGTCTCATCTCGTAAACTTATCCATTTTAATAGAATTTTTAATTATATCCGCTACTACACCTTGAATAATGCAGAATTTATTTAACTTTAGCGCAAAATGCCCCAAGGAAGCATCCAATATCAAGGGACGCAGAGAAGAGCCTGCGGTCCAGGTGCACACTGGAATGTCCAGGTACATTTATAACTTCTTCTAAACAGGGAACTCTAAAATGAATATTTCATTAGTCCTATTGACTGCCGACTCTTATGCAAATCTCACTAGTTCTAGATTATTTTATAAACTAGCAATTAAACGAAACTTTCTTTATTGTAGTGAAGCTTTTAAGAGGTATTTTAAAATATTTATGACAAAATTATTACAATAATTCTCATAAAATCCGCATAAATCAGGTTATTAACTGTTAACAGAAGTAATTACATCGAATAGGTTGTGAGAGACAAGATGACAACACGGTGTTTGTGGTACGCCTGCGAAGCTCTCGGAATTGGGCTGCTGCTAATGCTTTTAGGAGCTTGCATGGCCACCATAGGTGAGTAATCCTTTAGGGAATACTAAAATGCTTTCCATTAGCATGTTCTGTATTGTATAATTTATACATGGAGCGATTCTGATAAAGAAGTGTAAACCACACATCATCCGTAGTATTAAATAACTTCTTTAATCTATTCACTCTATTGCATGGATGAATTTTGTTTACGAAGAATACGTACCTAAATACGTATTATTATAGATTACTGCATCTTATGAAATTGTTTTCACAACCGAAACTTTAACCCGAGTTAGTTTCCTTAATACATCATGTATTCAATGAAAATAATTTCCACACGATTCTGTGTACCCTTTTATCAATTTCATTATTCCAAATTTATAAAAATCATTAATTCTAGAATTCCAAAATTCTTGAAAGGTTGCTTTTCCACTTTCTTCATTTCGAGATAATGTGTTCGTCGAAAAATTGTCAAAATGTTTGAAAAAGTGAAAATCCGTAGGTGCTAGGAAATGGGTTCCATATTTTAATATGTATATCTAATCCTTGAAGTTTCTAAACGGTCATTGTCGACATGTGAAATCTTGCGATAATGAGGTTTTAATATTTCTATTGTAAATCTTGTTAGTATTGAAAACACTTATAGTTTTGCGTATTTTACATTTTTACATTTTTTAATACGATTCCAAGACAATGAACGGTCGAACGAAATTGAATGGATGTTATTGACCCACCAAATTCCGTCTCCAGAAAAACGACATTTCATGTGCACCAATCTACTAATACATATTCAACAAAAATTAATAATCATTTACAGAACCGTTATCTTCTTTATAATAATTTCTATCGCAGATAGAATATATTGTTAATAAATATATAATAACTAAATAAGTATAATTTTGTTTCTATGAATATATTTTGTATGCACACAAATGAATAAATTTATCTTCTGAGCCTCGTTCAATATTATTAGACATTGCGGACGTTATTGTCTCAGATAATATCTCCGTATGGTTCAATTGCTAAAATAAACGTCTTTTTATATTTACAGTGACGTCTAAAATATCGGCGTTGTCAATAAAATCTGATAGAATCAGAGTACTGTTTTGCGGTTTTATTACTGAATTTTTATTAAAATATTATACTTTTATGTTGATATTTAAATACATTAAAAAAGGAATTCTACTAAACTCTGGAACATGTATAGTAACTTTCAGGAAATTTTGTTCCAGAAAATTATATACGTAACGGAAAAAGTTATTTTTATACACCCAGTTACCTCGGACTACTACTAGTTCTACTTTCGCCACCAGACCTTCCCCACTCTCCTTTCCAGTGGAAACTGAAGCGGTTTTTAATCATGGAACTGTTTATTAAATTTTATTCGTATACGTATACACTCCCACTCACAAGTATTAAAACACTTATCGAATGCAAAGTAAACTTTTGAAGATATACCACGGGTACAATTTAGGCAAGTTTACCCTATACATTGTCTATTTTACGACATTGTCTTCTGATAACAACTGTACCAATGTCACGTAAATAATTACAATCGAAATCATATCAAATGAATTCTCGTATTAAAAAAATTTGTCTATATTTTCTTGTCTGTCTTGTCATGATGGATTGCATCATATAAATTATTTGCTTCTAATATATTTCATTATTAATGTGATATCTTTAGATACTTCTCGAAAAGCCTTTGTAAAATTAAAAATCACTAAGGATGCTGTTATTATTATTTAATAATGTTGTTTAAAATTTAATTATAAATTTCCTATAACTAAATACTCAACGTAAGAAAATATACATACAATTGAACAGCAATAGGAGGGAAACAACAAAATAATTGGTATACATATAGTTCCCATTTCTGCGTATTGCTTGTAGTATCTATGTACAATTAGTCAAAAACTGAAAATGTTTTACAGTTATAAAACCAAATAAATCTAGATTATCTGAGAGAGTGATTGAATGTGATGAGTAAACTATTATAGAGTTATACTACGTTTTTAGAACTCAATATACTAAAATATTTAATGCAGTTTTATAGGATTCTTCTTTTATATGATACCTAACAATAAACAATTAAATTTCTAATTGATTCCAATCTTTATAAATTAGACCTTAAATATCTAGGTACGTTTGTATAAACATCCACAGTCTACTTATAAGTTGCTGTCTAAGACTCACTTTTTCAGAGCTAGATAAATAATCCTCTTAGGTATAATAATAATTAATATAACGATACAATTATTGTTTTTGTTCAAACATAGCCACATTCGTATTCCTCGTAACGTAATTATATTCCTTGGCTCATACTACTAAAACAAAGCATGCGTGTTGCATAGGATACTTCGCCGATCAGCTTTCCGTGGCGCAAGAAGTCAGAGGTAATCTGACTATAAGAGTGAAGAATGAGTCACGTGGATTTCATCTCAACAACCTTAGTTACGCTGGACCAATCGTTATGGGTGTAGGAGGTAACGATAACAATCACTATACATATCTACTACATATACAATATATCATGAAAAACAGCACACATATATACAATATATATGTGCGTGTGTGTGTGTGTGTGCTGTTCTTTCTTAATCTATCATTCCATGTTCCTAATCTTAACAATAAATTACGCTATCCACTCGTATATGATCTTTTAATAATATATAAATAAAAATAATCAAAAACTCGGAAGTACCAAAAATTTATAGTTAATAGCACAATCTACTTACAATTTTTAACGGAATAAAAATTAATATAAAAACATAAAAGGAAATTTGATTTTTACTCATTATTTGTGATTTGAATTCAATATGTTCGATTCTACCTAATTGTTAAAGATAAAACTTGTTCTAAAACTAATATGCAAAAATGTAATTTAAATGCATATATTATTTATAAAAGTATACATATTTAATAACACTGTAGAGAACCGAACACAATTAGATGAAATAACTGGTGCTCTGTAGTTAAGTAACAATATGATAATGTAAAATGATGATTATTGAATAGTATTTCATACATACAAAACATTTTCTTATGATTTTGTATTACGTTTAGGACTATACATAAATGATTCATATTTCAAGAAAAAAAAAAGAAAAATTTAATTTGCCCCCAGAGAGATTTGAACTCTCGACCCCTGGTTTACAAGACCAGTGCTCTAACCCCTGAGCTATGGAGGCTTACAGTACACCATTTCTTGAAAATTGAATATAATTATTCTACCAAGTTTTCAGAAATTAAATATTTTTTAAATAACATAAACAATTATAGTATGGTACGAAATTATTTTTATGTGTCGAAACGGTTTAATACTAATATCCGAAGAACTTGTACCTGCGTAACACGTCAAAATACGTATGAAATAAAAAGATAGGTTTATAAATAAACTATTATACAAGTTATGTGGTTTTAGTCATCAATTAGAATTTATTATTTTTAATGTTATCACATACTATACATATCTTTCCTCTAAAATAATTTTTATAAGTAGAATTTAAGCATCGAATGTCTTTCTTAAAAGTATAAACAATTTTTTATCTTCTTTCTTGTATTCTTTTCTGAAATATGATTAGTACTCAAATACGAGAACTGTTATTTTATCAGTATTACTGAACAATTTAATATTTAGACTACTAATATTCATTCAAATTCAGATTTCTCAAAAGTATTTTCTATGAGAAAGAATTATGCAAACATAGATATTTTTTACTAAGGATTTTGATCGAATAGGAATAAAATAACACTTGTATGAAATCATTATTATAACATACATTTTATTATATTTGAGAACATAAATGTGTTATATTGTATTAGGTACATAAGTGCATAAAAGTACGAAATCTAGAGACCGATAATATTTATGATCTTGTTCCATGGTCATAATATTCATAATGCGTCACGTTGTCATACTTTACCTGTCATACTCTTTTGACATTTCTTTAGACACTTTGCATGCTGTTTGGAGCGTACAAAACTTTTTACTGGAAAAATGATTCTATAAAAGAAAGGAATTCTCGTTTTGTAACGGTTTACCTTAAAGTTATCCCTATCGTTCGAAGTTGTTATAAATAATAATACAAAATTTATTGACGATTAATAGTAAACTGTATCAGTTTGTACTTTCTTGTTCTATGTATCACTTGTGAAAATAGAAATCAAAATTTAAAAAAAAAATGATAGAAAATAGTCTCTGATCTACGAAGTAGCGTACGATAACAGATAACCACTTTTCACATTTTGCATCTACACTACAGAATAGTTTTCAATATCCTTTGTAAAAAGTGCGTCTTATTTTATTTTCTATACGTTGTCAAAATAGATTTCGTGCGTGGTGCTGTAAAATTTTAAATTATCGAATAAGACAAAATTATAACAAATAAATAAATTGCTAAAACACTTTTACCCATCAAATAAATAAACTATTTTATTTTATACCTTTAATTTAAATCAAAAATTTATTTACATAATCATATTTGACATTATGTGATGAGTTTAATACATTTTGGTTAAATTCTATAATAATAAAGCTGCTCGAACTATTATTGCTGTATAATATACCTTATTTCATACAATACATACCAAACACACTGTACAAATTTACAGGATTTATCGTAGTAGCAGCTTGCGTAATGACCTTCGAGGCACGCGATAACGCTGCCAAAGTGGTACCAGCACGTTTTCGCTTTAGCCAAACGTCGACAATAAAGAGCATAAAAAATCAACGTAACCGAAGATCCATATCTAGTCAGACGACCAAATGGGACCACCAGCTTGGTGTGTTTAGAGTGAATAGAAGTCCAAGCCCAAGCATACATGATGTATTGAGGAAACAGTTGACAGCGGAATTTGTGCAGTTTTCAAAGGAACTGGGTGACAAACAGACTGGTCATTCCATTAAGAAGAGTCCCAGCGCGCCAAGTCTAGTAGATAAGAAATCGCCCCGTAAACGAACACCAAAATACGCTGGATGCGCACTGTTGAACCCAGAATTATTACAAAGACATGCTCTCTCCGTTGACAATCCTAGCTACAGTACTCATCAGGTATAAAAACAAATAAATTAACCTATATTTTACAGTGTACTTCACAATTAAACGCTCAAACGGTGTTTACATTTTCTACGTGTTCACGAATATTGTACAAATACAAAACCAGAAATATTATAGGAAAGTATCATGACAACAGTATTATATTCTGTTTACAATAATTATACAAACCCTGGAAACAGTTCCGATACACCTTGTGAATGACAAAATTAAATCGAACTGTCTGTTTTTATCTTGATTTTCAATTCTGGACAAAGAAAATAGTTACAGGGGGGCATATCAAGTAAATGTAATTAATAACCACAATGTACAATCCCTTTGTGATAAAGAAGGTGATTAAGTATATACTCGTGAAACTAAATGTTTCCAGTGTCGTTCTTGTCGTCATCTTGAAAAACGAATATCAAAGATATTTCTAGATTTCGCATAATCGTTATGTAAAATGTATTTCGTCAAAAGGAACCATGAATAATTCATAACAAAATTTATCAATGTCACGCAAAAGATTTCTATTTTAATTAATGCACTAAGGCTTTTGGAACATATCTGTCTATTATAGAATCTATTTAAATGCCTCATACTTAGTGTACTTATTATATCATACACATATTTACATAATTAAAAGCTCGTAATTCTATAATAATGAATCAGGAAATATTATCCAATCACCCGTTTACGTAAGTTCCATAAATAGGTAGCAATACCTGACCAGTCATTCAAACGTGAAAAGTTATATTCATAATTGCTTGCTGAACCTATGAAACATAGAGTGGGGAGTCGAGACACATAAGTCAAACTACACCTAAATTAGTGTTTGTCAACAAATGTTCGCGTTCTGTTATTTCACTTTTAATCTTTCCAGATTACTTATCTATTATACAGTGTGTCTCAGGTCGGATAGTACAACTGTACAGGAGGTGATTCTATAAGAAAAAGTATGTCGAAAAAGAAGAATAAATTTACATCGTACGAGGTTTCGTTTTCGAGAAAAACCAGTTGCCGTTAAGTATGCGTGCATTTGTGGTGACGATAGAGTAGAAACGGAATGTAATGAACAGACGCGTCAACTTATAATTGACAATCAAACAAACGTACCTGTACGTGAAGTTCGATTGTAATTATATTTGCCCATTTTTGAACCATATAGAAATTGGTCAATGGGAGCTTTTTCAAGCAACGGTTTTTTCGAGGATAAAGTGGGAGAAATATACGCTTTCCTAGCCTTCGATCGGGTATAAAAAACATCTGTAAGAATTTTTCCCGTATCGAACAATATCTTCGACAATTCCAGTTTGTCTACATCCTCCTCTTCCTCAGAAAGTAGCATAGATATAGTCGAGCCTAAGGCTGATAAAGCTGAACCAATTGAATTCCGAGTATGCATGAAATATTCATCCCTTCTCAATGTGGCTTCACAAATAGCTTTTATAAATTCTTTTTTAACTATAGGTGCTTCCAATGTGCACGAACCCCTCTTGCAATATTTGTTTAATGTTATTTCTTTATCCTCTGCCTTTAGACCATTAGTTAACCAACCGTTCCATCTCTGTGTTAATTCCGGATGAAAGTCATGATCTTTCTGAGATGCAACGGTTGGGTTCTCTCCCATTCTTTCGAGAACCTCCTCCTCCAGCGTAATGATCTCGACCGCTTTTCCGTCAACTGAACTGCTCTTTGACGACTCGTCTTTATGCGTCGGAACATTTTCCTTATCTGTCTGCAGAGCATTGTCTAAAAGCGAAAAACAGAAAGGAAACGAAAAAATAAATGTACTGATTTGTCTGCTCTCGTGAGTAAGATCTCTCAGTCATAAAAGTGATCGGCGTATGACCTTCCTTGTGGAGAGGCTCTGCCGCCGAAAAAACCTATCTTCCACTGCCAGCTACGCTTGCTCGATATTTTTACTTGCCAGCATTTAAATTTTCAGAATTCTCAGGTAAAGAGCTATTATGATTTTTGTTGAGGAATCTGTTTTTTCCTTCCTAGACGTTTTATTTGCGATGCCCCTTAACAGATAAAGCAAAGTTTTCTCGATGAGTTTTAGCCTCTTTCTAACGTCGTAGGGTCTTCTTGCCCTGCTTCTCTCTCTACTCCTGTCCCTACTTCTCGATAAACGCTTCCTGTTTTTGCCCTTTATCATAGTTATAAATGGAAATAAAGAGAAATAAATGTAACTTTTCTGAAGGAAAACAATTCTACGTGTGAACGTCTGAGCACAACGAAGAACAATGAACGGAAGGCGCACAGGTTCACGGAGACTGGATACAGCGCGCGAAATTTAAAAATATCTAAACTTTGTGAATTGTAAAGCCGAAGTAGATTACTACAGGTAATCTTGAAGAACGAGGCTTGAAATATAATTCTATTTAATAATTGAACATGTATTCAGCAAATTTAAAAATTCGATTATCTCGGAAACAAAACATCGTAGGAAAAAATGTTATTCTATATTTTCGATTAGTTTTTGCATGGAAAATAACCTACTACCCGATTGTATTATCCGACTCCGAGACATACAATATATCTTATAAATTAAAATATATTATAAGTTGATAAACTGTAAAATTTACTTGTTTTATCTAACACAATATTGGCATAGGAATGTCTGTTGCATTTTAAAAAAACAGTCGACGTTGAAACGATCTTAAAAATAAGATACCAAAATTCAAGTATTTATTCTATTCTAGCAGATTGCACAACTACAACGGTACAAACTTTCTTTGAATATTTTTTCATGAAGTCAATAGTTTAAACACTATTACAATCGTTTATCATAAGAAATGCGGTATCATAAAAATCAAATAATTACAGACAACAATATTCTTAGTCATTCAATATATTTAATACACCTTTAACAGACAAGTAGAGAAAGTTTGGAACAGCAGAAGATGGGTGGCAGCCAAGTTTCAATGGCGATGGATTTGCACATTCCTAACAAAGGTCCAGTTACACTGAAAGTGAAGGACAGGTCAGACACTGCTAGACGACATCAACTACTTCGTCAGACGAAAGTTGAGTACGTCGAAGAGGTAGATGAATCGATACGGTCACCATCCACTCGTGGTTACTCGCCTAATCTATCAGGTCAGTCATTATAAAGACACGACGTTGTTGTACAGTCCAGTATACAGTATGTCGGGTGGAACCTAACAAATTTCTGTAGCATATCTAACAGACCATTTTGACCATTTCGATTTATAATAAAATCACTGTAAAATAAAAAACTTACTAAAGATACATTTTTGCAAAGAACAGTTTCTTTAATTCATTAGTTTTTTATTTTCTGGTCACTTTACTTTTACAGTCTTATTTAAATTTTACACAAACTGTGGACATTTACATTAAAAGAGACGTATTGATGCAAAAATGGATTAATGACATGGAATGAATGGAATTTGTTTTTTTATATAAATCCGAACAACATCATATGAAATCAAGTCTACTAATGCTACGCCATTTCTGTATGAAATCACAGTAGATCTACAGTATACAGGGTGAGTTAATAAAAACTGTTATCTAAAATATGTCGTTAAATTTGTCTTATTATCGACTACAACACAACATTACAAAAATAATTAACCTTAAAGAACTCAAAGTTATCTTGATATCTCAGAAAATATAAGAAATTAAAAGTCACATTGCATCCATCTGATGAGTCCTCTGAGTCCCTTCAAATGTAATATATAATAATTCATTTAAAACGTTTGTTTTATACAACCAATAGGTAATGAGTTATTTTAAATAATAGTTCTTATTGACCGACTCTGTATACAATCCGTTGTACGTAGAAAAATTCATCACAAAATTTCAAAAAGTTGATCAGTATTTCTAATTAAAGGGTACACGAAAGATATACAGGGTGTAACAAAAATATTGGAGGACCCAGAAATGGGAGTCTCGTGAGGTGATTTGAAACAAGTTTTTCCTTAGCAAAAATGTTATCCGAGGCTTTATTAACGAAATATTGACGAAAAATCCCGACCAATCAGAGCGCGAGTCTGCCAGCTGAGTTCCCGCGGTAACGTTAGCAACCAATCGTAGCGCGTAGCTAACGTTACCGTAAGAATTCGTCCGGCAGACTCGCGCTCTGATTGGGCGGGGTTTTTCGTCAATATCTCGTTAACAAAGCCTCGGATAATATTTTTGCTAAGGAAAAACTTGTTTCAAATCACTTCACGTGTCTCCCATTTCAGAGTCCTCCAACATTTTTGTTACACCCTGTATATACCGGTACTTCAAAAACATGTGATCATACTATTTTATTTTTAACTTTTTACAACCTGGCAATAGACTCATTCTGTACCTATATGTATAATGTTTTTGTCAGTTTCATTGCGGAACATACTGTATAGAAGGAAACATAAAACTTTATAAAGTATTATTAAGGTCTTAAGTTAAATATATTGCCCTTTATTTTCCACGAATACGGTAACTATCTCGACAACTATCCAGGTGATTTTGTATCAAGAAAAAGAAACTCTATAGACATAAGACTGTTCGAGGAACTAACTGCAACGAAAGATCTCACGAAAATATCTCCCAGAGATTTTCGCAAGATTTCTTCGCCGAGCTTCCATAAAATGTCTTTCGATAAAATTGGAAGTGAACGTAGGATTGAAAGATTAATGGGTCAACGAAAAGCGAGCCTGGAATTTAGAAGGAGTCCTGATTTCCGCAGGGGAGATTACAGGTAACATATATCCTACATGGAATACTTACTACAAACCTCAGATATTTATTTAAATTACAAACTTAACAATCTGGTACTTAACTAATTCTTAATGACAAAATAGTAAAATACGTGGCTTTTTTCCCTCAATGGGGGGTGGGGGGCAAGTGCCTCCACTGGCTACGCGCATGTTTACTTTCATTTCATAATTTTTCAATTTATACTTTTCATCTGATGTATTAATTTTCCAACAAATTTCTATAATGCTAGTCAATTTAAGACACGTCCACAGTGGAAGCTCAGAATCAGATAAGAATTTATCTAACATTTATCTTGACTCGAAATGTTGAAGTTAACGTATGCAATAAATATAGAAAACGGTAACAATTACTTTATTCATTCCAGGAAATTGTCTGTCGACAGATTCAGCGTCGATTGCACTAAATACCTTTTCGAGGACGCGGGAATCAGATCAAGAGCGAGCAGCGGTGAGATTCTGAAAAGGCAGCGTCAACCGAAACTGTATCAATCGAAATCGGACGACAATAGAAGGCAATCCTTCGACAAACACCAAAAAGACTCGAGCAGATACTCGTTGAACACGCAAGCGGTGATCGAGAGCAGCGGCGACGACTCGGAATTTAAATATTTCACAGCTACGACGGTTGACACCGAGGGAAATCGAGCAGTTATTTCCGATGAGAGCCACAGGATCGATATCGACAAGCTAATCGCCAAGACAAATTCTTTCGAAGGGCCGACCGAGAACGACGCGTTGCTCGAGGAACCCGAATTGGAAAACCTTCCGGAGAACGGTAACGAAAGTCCAACGGATCGCCTAGACAAACATGAAAAATGTAACCAAGATTCCGGGATAATAGAAAATTTTATGCTGGAATGTGGCGTGTCGGGGAATCAAAAAATAGACGAATATGTTAGTGAAAATTTCAAGGATTTCACCAAGAGTGAAGAGACGCCATTGTACATAGCAGACGACGAAGTTTGATCGGTAATAATTATATTAAGACTCTCTATACCAATTACCAAATATCTGAAAACAATTGCCTAACTTTCATAAATGGTTCCAACGAGAACTTCTGAAAATCAGCTTTACCATTTTAAATGTTAATCGAGTTGTACCAGAAATAACGTTTCATTCAAAAGTGTAAATAAAACTTTTACATATCTACGCGTTTAACCCTTATGTGGGCAACCGGGTACCCATTTTTGTATTTCCTTTCACAATTTGTTCAGTTCTTGTCTAAAACAGCACTTGATCTATTATAGGAAGGAAAAATTAAGAGCTTCGGAAAAGTATGAAAGTAAAATTATCTATGTTAATCTAATCTGTCAGAATAGAATGTTTGGGGTACTCCAATTGTTCAATAATCGTGAACATTTTGGTTGCTCACACAAAAGTTAAAGAAATATTGAAGCATTGATAATCAAATGGTTACATCACGAAGTTGATGTAGGTACCAATAATACTTGTTGTTTACTGAGACGTTTATTAGAACGCTAAATATTTCTACTGTTTAACTAACGTGTGTTTAACACATTCTTAATATCGCGTAAGAGTTCCAGGTGAATGAGAGATAACCAATATTCCAAACGAGTTCAACAAACAGGTTTATTTCCTGGTAGCGTGTCATTGCGGTTACGTTATAAATTTTTGTTTAAAGAAAGTTTTCAAATAGAATAGAAGACGCTAGTGGATTTGTGATGAAACTAACACATTTGTAGAACAAGGAAAGCTGCGTCTAATATAAACTGATGTTACTATTACTTATTTATTATCTACTTGTTTTTGTATGTTCATAATGAACCTGATAACCGATAAGTTTTTACTTAAACGCTGAAAATGGCACAACGGAAGCTGCTTAAAAATGACCGGATAGTAGATACTAATGTAGGTACAGTAGACCTCCATTTAACCGAACCCTTCAGAAGACAAACACTTCATATATCGTAATTACGCTAGCTTGGATCCAGCATTACGTTTAAAAAATCATAACGATTTCAAATTACCGTCTGAAAAATTGTAGTGTTCTACTTTGTAACCGGTTCATAAGTTCGTGTAAGTGTGGCCTATATCATATCATTACACCGACAACATTTCGACCATAGCGATAAAATCGACTTTAGATTTCATTAAACATTGCGTTGTTGCAAATGTCGTTACAAGAACGAATATATCCGCGAATTTTGTACAATATTAAGACCTTAGACAGAAAAAAAAGGAATCTAAAAAAAACGACAATCCATTAACCGCAAGTGATACGCGAGTTGTTTTTTAATATGAAATCCTTAACGGAAGATGTGTAGAAATCTATTTTTATATCTCTCGTACGGTGATACAATGGTATCGACGATTAAACATATTAACTAAAAACTAGCGAAGTGGCACATTCTTTAGTTCGATTCATTACTATGTAGAACTATAAACATGCGACATGCGGTAAAAACATCTTATAGCTGTTCGAAGTCATCGAGGCATCATCCTCATATTATTTATTATTTGTTTCGACGTCCCATCTTCTGTGCGCAAATTATTATTAGGTCAGTGCCTATGAAAGATCGGTTTTATTGATTGGTACACTTACTCACACTTTTATGAAAAAAAATTATTAACTTTTTGTGGACTATGAAACCGCGTATACGTTCTGCATAAACTGTCTGGATTATGTAGTTGCTGAATTTACATATATGTGTGTAACAGAAACAATTAACGGTACTCTTTAGTTTATTCTTTTGACAGGAAAAAAACATAATAAATGTTTTATCATGAATTGTGGGATATCTTTTCCTTTCAAAGATTTAACAACGATCTACGCATGCGTAGTAAGTTAGAGCACCCTCTGTAGTTTTTATAAGGTGTTATTTGTTTCGACAGTAAAATTTGAAGATTTCATTGAATAAATATAAATAGATGATAGATACAGATAAAATTCCACTGAAATTCTTATGTGTGTTTACATTTAAAAATTTGTTGTCACACTCATGTAAGCTTTATGAATGTTCATTTAAAATTCTGGTAGCGACTATCTTTTAATAAAAAATAATCATTCAGCAAAAAGACTGCAATTAATAATTGTAGTTTCAATTTAGAAAATTTACTTACTTCCAAGCATTCAAGTTTGTGATAATAGTGAAATGAGGATACCCGTGTTTCTTTAATGAAAGAACATGATCTTACTTCGACCAATAAAATTCATTTAAAATTCAATAGAATGTTGTATGTCACTAAAAAGTCTGACTTTTCATATGCACCGATCTAATAGATAGGTACAAACATTCTATGTTCTTTTATGAAAATAAACTTGAAGCGGGCAATTGAGTTTCGTTCAACAGTAATAAAAATATAGTTAAAAATATGGTGATAAGAACAATTGATAATGAAATTATTGTTTTAAAACCGGAATATCTTTCCGGTAAACGAACAACAAACACAGAAGAAACATGGAATTGTATTTACCCAGAAGATAAAGGTATTAGTCATTCGATTTTCAATGGACCAATGTGTACATAAACGTGGTAAATTACTGAAACTGTTTAAACATTTTTCTATAACTTCACCTGATATTTCGCCTCCAAAAAATCGTTTATGATATACTGTGTCGAAAAAAGATTGTGTTTGCGTTATTTCAATTTAAAGACTAAACTTTACCATCGGTGTAAGTTGAAAATTGGTTTCGAAGAAATAATTCATTTACACACAACAAAGATGTATTGGATGAAATAAAAAGCATACATAATGATAAATTGTAGTCTTCAAAGTGCAATTTCGTAGGCATTCACAGTACAATATAATCACAAATAATTATCGAGAAGTTAACGGAGAAAACATAATCGAGCTGTGATGAAACTGTAATTAAGTAAGAATCACTGACAGTAGGAAACATTATTTCCTATAATCATCAGTGTTGTCAAAAACGTTGTAATATTTACAGACGCACCACTTTAAAGTAAGGTACTCATGAAATACACGATCAATGTCACTTTTATATATTTTTCCAAGAAGAATATAAAAACGCATACCTCGATTATCTAACAACTAATTTTCCTTATTTAAAATACGAAGGATTATATTCAAATTTTTTACTAGTACGGTGTAAACATTTATGTAAAAGTAGATTTTATACCAATAATTTTCAGAAACAAAAATTAAACAAAGATTTGTTCACTTTATCCCAAATAGCACAAAAACGTCATATGTACGTCTGAAGAATGTACGTTCCGGACGTTCGGTACATTCGGAGGATGTCCCGAAAAGATCCACATGTCCCCCTACGTCCTCGTTAAGATCTTTAAATGTCCTAGGAAGGTCCTATTCACGAAGTGGAACGTTTTGAGAATGTTGTCACAGAACTTCTTAAGGCGTTCCACTTTGTAAATAGTAACTCCCTAGGACATTTAAAAATCTTAACGAGGACGTATAGGCGACGTCCGGAACGTACGTTCTCCGGACGTAAATATGACGTTTTTGTGCTGTTTGGGTTGTAATACACTGAGTTTCAGACAATCAGATGTACCTAATATAAATGTATAAAATCTGCAATCTATTTATTAGTATTAAAAAATAAATTATTTTCTATAAAAAGAAGTCATATAATGGCAATGATTAAATATCGTTAATAATATATTGCAAGGAAAAATGATTGAAAATGAAAAATGTAACTTAAATGAAAGAATAGTTAAACATATTACAAAAAAACTTTGGAACTGTATTTGGATAAAATTGAAATGTTCTTGAGTGTATTTTATGAGTATCTTTTAGAGCACCAACGACGTTCTCATCTGACATAAGCGATTTTGTCAAAAGCCAATTGTAATTAGCAAGTATGTTGAAATAAATGAATATCGTTGTAAGATTCTGGACGCAATGTAATCTTTGCATGCTGATTGTTGTAACATCTCAATAAAACGATTTCGAAAGCAACAATTCGTATATACATTGCATAAAGAAATTAACAAGTTGCACTTCCCGCGCGAAATAGGTCATGCCATGGCATTACACATTGGTAGCAATTGGTGGTGGATGCATAGTCACCGATCGCTGCGTCCTCTCTTTAAACCGGTAACTTTCTCCAGAGTTGAGATATAAGAATAAACCTAACATGCAATGTAATTTTCAGAAGCACGTCATTCGATGTGTGCCAATGGCTGCGTTCAGGAAACACAACCGTTGCGCAACCGTTGAGTGATTTTACTAGATTTGACTCTGAACGCTACACCCTATTGGGTGAGCGGTAGCAAATCTAGTGAAATCACTCAACGGTTGCGCAACGGTTATCGGAAAATAGTTGGCGCCGAATGTTAACGTATCTTAGCGATTTATATCTCAAAAAATTGCTCCCAATTTGCTCCTTCCGAATCTGAAATTGCTCCCACAGCACCGTTTATAGTTAATGAGATATTCGCAAAAGAAGAAGCAAAAACTTGTTGTTTACAAAATAGGTAGTAAATGGCCTTTTTACACAAATATTATGGCACCAAAAAATTG